AAACCCAGTCCCTGTATGGAGTTGGCTTCCCCTATTTCGCCCTTGTAAATCCGCCGGCATCCAGGACAGTAATGTTGCTCCTCCACTGGCGTTTCCCTGGCCCTGTGTGACAGGCGTGGGGCGCGCAGGGCATACCCAGCTCCTGCCTCCACAGGCTGGTTCTGATGACAAAATGAGATGTGGCGCACGTAGGGAAACACTACGACAGTGGTGCATTTTGTGAAAGAAATGAAGGACAACACATAAGAATAAATAGAGAGTTTGGGTCCATTTGAGGGGTCAGGAGATGTTTGCCAGAAAAGTCTTTCAGTCTGGCTGATTGAAGGGGCAGCAGTGTTCTCTGTCAGCAAGGGCCCTGCTTCCTTGACCAGGGAAGGGGGCAGCTGAAGCACAGGCAGGAGAGGGAGGGGCGGGGGCATGGGATGGGGGGGAGAGGGGAGCGGAGGGTGACAGGGTCTGGTCCATATTCTTGGGGAGAGGGAGCAGGGGGAGGGACTGTGCATCATCTCACGTCTTGGGCTTGATCTTAAGAGCAATGGAAGCCAGTGGAGGGATTTATTTTATTTTTTTTAAAGATTTATTTATTTATTTTTGCACACAAGAGCTGGGGTACAGGTCAGAGGTGTGGGGGTGAGAGGATTCTACAGAGACAGAGTGGGGAGCAGAACAGGCAGACTGACTGAAATACACTGCTGAGGGGAGCAGCAGGAGACAGGAGAGGTCTGCTGCACCATGTGGGCAGCTCCATGGCCGGGGATCGAACTGCTGCAGAGGCTGCAGACAGCTTGATAGGTTGTGTCTTTTTTTTTTTCCATATTATTTTTATTTATTTTCTTCCAATTATATTTATTGAGGCAACATGATTTATTTTCTTATTTTTTAATTAATATATTTTATTTTATATAATTCTTACATCATTTTTCATTTTTGCACAATGTATGCATTTTCATTTTGGTTATATTCCCCCTACAATTGCACCCCCCCTTATTTTGACCCTAATCCTTCCTCTCCCTGCCCCTCCCCCCCATAGTGTGTCTCTGGTTTTTAGTTGCTTGTTGATCAAGAAGATGTGGTAGATATACACCATGGAGTATTACTCAGCATTCAAAAAAGATAAACTCATGCCATTTGCAGCAACATGGGTGGCGCTGGAAGGGATCATGCTCAGCGAAATAAGCCAAAAAGAAAAAGAAAAGTACTGGATGGTCTCACTCGTAGCAGGAATCTAGAAAACCTAAATAAGGGACCAGGAAAAAGACTAATTATAATAAAGAAAAAATCATAGGTTGTGTCTTAACCCCTTGCACACCAGGGGGGGGCCAGCGGAGGGTTTTATTTAGCAAAACATCTGTATGCTGATGCTGCGGTGGTGATGCGGTGCTGCTGGTCCAGGGGGGAGGGGAGGGTGGTGGCGGCCATGAGCCCGGACAGAGCACAGACAAGGCAGGAGCGGCGCTGGCGGGGTGCCGGCAGCGGCCGCGAGGAGCGTGTGCTGGCTGGGATTCGCATGGAGACAGCGGTGGAGGTGAGACCCCAAGGCCGCGGCTGGGAAGGCAGCGGCAGGAGGACCCCCCGCACCCGGGGGAGTGGAGGTGGGAGCACCACGGGGCTGCGAGCCAGGCCGCCCGCGCTGCCCCTGACTTGCCGTGTGACCTTGGGAAAACGCACTGCCCTCCGACGCCCCTCAATTTCCACGTCCTGGGAAGAGGTCGAAGATCAGAGGAGTGTGCAGACGTGCCTGGCGCCCGGTGCTGCGACGCTCACTTCCCTTGTCCTCCTGACACGTGCACACCGCCAAGGAGGGGGTGGAGAGTCCCTCTGCCACGCACTGCCCCCGCCTGGGCAGGCCGCGCGGCCGGTTGCTGAGGGACATGGCATTGCTGCCGGGAGACCAGGAAGCCTGCGTTAGCTGATCCTGCCGGCCTGCAGCCCTGGCTGTCCGCTGCGGTGAGAGCAGCTGCAGGAGGTGACTGTCAGGGTGTCTGCTCCCCGCACCCCGACACAACGCCCCACCCTGAGCTTCTTTCTGCGGCAAGTGAGTAATCCCGTCCCACTGCCAGCTCTGGGGGGTGCCGATGGCGACCTGGTGAGTGTGGGGAAAGCTGGTGCTTACCTGAGCCTCTGGCAGTGTGCCTGAGCCTTGCCTTCTTCTCCCTGGATTCAGTCTCCCGCAGAGAAGCTTCCCTGTCACCTCACGGAGCAGTGTGCCGTGTGCTGTTCCCGAGAGGCCGTGTGCCTGGTGCCTGTGTGCGCCGGGTGCTCCCCCCAGCTGTGGGCTGCCTCTCCCCGGCGGGCAGGTTGTGGGGGCCTGCCCGATGACAGCCTGGATGTGTTTGCATCAAGCCCTTTTACAACTTCAGTTTATCTCCTGCTTGCAGGAGGCTCCTTCTGACTGATCCTTGGACGGGGCCCTCCCAGCATCTAGAGGTTTTTGAAGTGCCCCAAACTGGGCAATTTTATTTCCAAAGTGACATGCACCTTCGCCACCCTGTACTGCCCGCCTGTCTGGTGTCGGCACACAGGCGCTTATGTGGCACCTGCAGAGCCCACAGGCAGGGCCCTGCTGACCCATGATGCCTGCAGAGATGACAGGCGACAGAGAGCGAGGCTGTGAGGTGGCCACACAGGAAGGGCCGGTGCAAAGTCATCCCCACTGTGTCCATTACCTCTGCTCTCCAGGCGGGCGGACCTGGGGAGCCCCGTGTCCATGCTACCTGCCCTGTGCCAGGAGGGCAGCGTGGGGGGGTAGCCCCGGTCAGGAGAGACCGAACAGCGCAGAGAGGATGTGTCCTCTGCAAGTCATGCAATACTTCCCAGCAGTGAGGCTTTTTATTGGCCTCAGCAGCTCATTGGTCACAAGTCTCTCCCTTTCTGTCTCCCCGGAGCTGCTGCTCGTCTCCGGCTGTGAGAAACACTGCCTCCCGCCGCGTCTTCACCCTCCTCTTCCCGGGATCTGCATTCACAGCCAGACATCCGTGGGCCCTGTCTCGGGCCTTTCCTCTGGGCGGGCCCCAGGAGTGGCCTGGCCTCTCGCTCTTGTCTCTCTGGGTACCGGGTGCCCCTCAGAGCACTTGTCCAGGGAAGGGTTCTGCCCCTCTCCCAGTCTAAGGCAGGTGGAGGCATGAGGGGTGGCCCGGGGCACAGGCGGAGAGGACAAGGAGGGGGCAGGCTCTGGCACTGCAGTCCTTCTGGAGGACCAAGATGTGCTTTCTCAGGTCCATCCTTGGGGTCTTCCCCGCGTTCCGTGGCCAGGAGGCAGGCAGTGTGCCTCTCCCTGCGGAAGCCGCGCTGACCCTTGGGGAGGGCGTGGTCCTGGGTGCGGGGACGTGAGGCTGAGCCTCTGCAGTGCGGGGCCTGTGCTTACTCGAAGAGAGGACCTCGTGCTCCAGAAGGGCCTTGGCGGTGAGAACAAGCTGGCATCCGCCTCCTGGGTCACGGCGCCAGCTGTCCTAGCTCTTCCGGGGAGGGCCCTGGGCACCCGCTGGCCTCGCAGTGTCCTGCCCCTTCACCTGCACCTAAGTGTGTGGGGGCGGAGGCTCCACCAGTGGGGCACACTTAGGGAAGAGGACAGCTGCTGGGCATCAGCGTCTGGGTGGCCACCGCAGCTGCTACCGGTGCACTGTCCTCATGGGCCCAGGACGAGCCCGGGAGGCCCAAGGACAGGACAGTTAGGACAGGAGACAAAGCCAGGTTTCCTCTGGAGTCTGCGATGCAGCTGAGAGAGCGGAGGCAAGCAACGGGTGAGCTCCCAGGCCATCAGAGGGCCGTGGCGAGGTACAACGTCACTGCTGGCTTGGTTCAGCTGATCTTCCTGCTGCGAAGTTAGGTTTCTTGTGGCTTCAAATCTGAAACCCCTGCAGCTTTCTGGTCCTAGGCACATCCTGCCTGTGCTTGGGGAAGCACCTGCGGGCCTGGGGCACTCTGGGGGTGGGGGTGGGGGAAGGCACGTGCAGGCAGCGTGGCACGTGGAGCTGCTGGCACAGCTCGTGCCCTGGCACACGGCTCAGGGGACAGTGGAAGGCTCTCGACAGGGCTGTGCACAGTGAGAGCTGACATGTCTCGGGCCCTGAACTCTGTACATATCCCTGGATTGTTGTGACATTTCCATGAGGGTCGCACGGGCCACATTCAAGGTTTGCAGCTAACAGGGCGGATATGGAGAGGTGAGCACCGTTGCCCAAGGCCACACAGCTAGAGCTCAGGAGAGGAAGCCTGTTCCCCTGAGCCAGACTCCCAGCCCAGCAGCTTCTCCCGGGCCCAGTCAACTGCCCCTCGCTGTCCACATGCCTGAACAGCCCAAGAGGTCCGGCTCCCGCAAGCCTACCACCCTGTCTCTCCTCACCTTCTGTTCCCGGCTGACCTCCACACAGGGCCCCACCCCAGGCCACTGAGCGCCCCCCATGTGGAACCTTGTGCAGAACAAGCATGAAACACACACACACACCCTCACACACTCACACGCACACATACAGGACATCCTTGGCATGGGGCTGTCCCCAGAACTGTGAAAAAAGAGTGTGAGAAGACCAGACCCTCCCAGGCTGGCCCCATTTTCTGAACCCCAACATTATGTAAAGTCCCAGTCGGAGGCCAGGCAGGGCCACAGCCCATGGCCCTAGTCCCTAGACAGTTACTCCTCCCCTTGCAGGAGAGATTGACTCCTAACTCCCAGTTACGAGTACCCCCTGTTGCTTCCTGTGAGCCAGCACCCAGCTGGGCAGACACGTCTCCAGAGGTCAGTGGCCAGCACACAGCCGCAGTGGGCTGATTGTTTGAATGCCCTTGCACATGTGCAGCCAGGACGACTGTTCAGGTGCAGGGAGCCGCTGGTCAGCAGCATTTGCACTGTTATTTTTGTTTCTGTTAAACAGCCCTTCCTGATAGCTATCCACACCGGCATCTCTGAACGGAGCCTGGTCATCAGGACCTGCAGGGAGATTATGCCCTCTATGTGCAGGACTGACCACCTGTGACAAAGTCTGCTGCTCCCACCAGGAGGTATGAGTGGTCAGTTGGCTCCTGGCCCCCTGAGCACAGCTGCCTGGCCAGCTTCTAACCAGCTCATCAGCAGTTCCCCCGGCATGCCCCCTGCAGCCAGCAATGTCTCCCTGAGCCTTAGGGTCCCCAGCGTGCCCATCTCTGTGCTGCGCTGGCTCTTTCTTCCCTCAGGCCTGCTGGCTGCAGCCACACTGGCTTTGAGCCCCCTGCTGCTGGTGACCATCCTGCGGACCCACAGGCTGCGCCAAGTGCCCCACTACCTGCTGCTGGCCAACATTCTGCTCTCGGATCTGGCCTACATCGCCTTCCACATGCTCATCTCCTCCAGCAGCCTGGGCGGCTGGGCGCTGGGCCGTATTGCCTGCGGTATTCTCAGAGACGCCGCCATGGCCACGTACAACAGCACCATCCTGTCCCTCACTGCCACTGTGCTGCACACCTACCTGGCGGTGGCTCATCCTCTGCGCTACCTCTCCTATATGTCCTTCGAGGCTGCCCGGAAGACTGTGGCCCTCATCTGGCTGGTGGCCTGCCTCTTCCCCACGTTTCTCATTTGGCTCAGCAAGCGGCAGGATGCCAGTTTGGAGGAGCAAGGGGCCTCGTGCATCCTGCTGCTGAGACCGGGCACTCAGCAAGGTGGAGGCCCCCTGGTCACTGTCACCCACAGCTGCATCTTGTGCCTTCTCTTTCTGTGTATCGCTCTCATTACCTACTGCTTCTGGAGGATTTATGCAGAAGCCAGGATCTCAGGTATCTGGATACAGGGCTATTCCAGGGCAAGAGGCACTCTGTTCATCCACACAGCATTGATTATATTGTATGTTAGTCCAGTGATGGTGTTTTCCCTGGACATCATGTTGACCAAGTACCAACACATTGGTGCCAGAACTCACATGTGGCTCGTGGCAGTCAACTGTGAGGTGCTTATGATGCTCCCGCGGGCCGTACTCCCGTACATGTACACCCTCCGTTACAGGCAGCTACTGGGGACAGTCCAGGGCCACTTTTCATTTAGGAGGCACAGTGACATCTTCACCATCTTTTAGAATTACAGACCTCACTGTCCAGCAAACTGAAGGTAAAGGTTACATGTTAGATGCATCAGCATTTAATTACGACCAATCTCTTAGACTACAAAATATAATTGTGGATCAGGACCTCAGCTGATGGTGTTCAATATTTCAACAACTCTTAAGCTCTCTTTTAGGGAAACTGAAACCCTACTTGAATGGAAACACGTAAAGGTGACTCAGCAGAACTCTAAAGAGCACCGAGGAGGTGTCAGTGCTGACACCCAGAACCCACATGTTACTGAAAGTAGAAACCTGGGAAGTAAGCAAGCAGATCGGCTGAGTTGGGATTACTCTCCTCCATTTGGGAAATTACTCAGGATGTGGGAGGGAGGAGGGCAAATCTAGGACCTACCTGTGGTAAGGAACAATACATTTATAAAGCTGGAACCCCAAGATATTATGGCCTAATAATGATAAGAAATAACCACTAAGAGAATGGCAAGGAGACTTGCTTGCCTTGATATTGGTTTTAGGCAGGAAAAGATTTTTCTTGAGAATTCTTAAGTGGAAGTCAGTTTTCAGATCAGATTTAAACTATTTAATGTTCAAAAATTCCCACTCTGTTTGATATGGTTTTCCTGGAAGAGCTGAACTTCACCCCAGGCCTCACAGAATTTCCACAGAAAAAGATTTAGAAAGAAAATAAGTAGTACTTAAATCAAAATTCCCAAACTGCACAGGGGAATTAGGAGCCATGAATGAGAATGAAACAGACTAACATACGTGGTAACATATGTCAGCCCCTTGAACTATCAGACACTTGGTTCACATGAAGGCATTGTCATGAAAATATGGTGGGAACAATGCATATCCAAGCAGATTTAGAAAAGAATCAAACAGAACTTGTGGAAATAAAAATATGTAATAATTAGAATTATAAAACATAGGTTAGATTTAATATAATGTATTAAACACAACTGGAGAGACATTTTGCATACAGGAAGACAGTTTAAAATTTATTATCTGAAATTCAGTTTAGAGGAACAAAGTGATGAATATAAAATATAAAAGAGTTTAAGAGATACTGAGGTTAGAATAGAAAAGATTAACATACATCTAATTTGGGAATATGACAGAGAAAATGTGGAAAAGAAACATTTGACAAGATAATAGCAAATAATTTTTAGAATTATTGAAAGACATCAAACTTCAGATCCAAGAAGTCCAACCACTTACAAACAAGATAAATTACAAATAACCTACCCAAAGCACATCATGTGACACTGAGGAAACCAAGTTCAAAGATAAGAATTTGAAACCTGCAGAGGTAGGAAACAAAAGTACAGCAATAAAACTGACAGCCGACTTCTCAGAAAATAGTGAAAGCCTGCAGAGGGTGAAATAGTATTGTCAATGTGACGAGAGAAAATAACTGCTGAACTGGAATTCTATGTACAGAAAATGATGTTCCCTGCGAACAAAATGAAGACCATTATAGCACAAAACCCAGAAAGGAATGTTTCTAAAAATACACATTAAAGTAATTTTTAAGAAGGTGTTCTGGCCAGAGGAAAATTATTCCAGATGGAAGGTTTGGGATGCGTGAAGAAACGGTGAGAAATGAACATTGAAAACTTTGCACATAAATCTGAACAATCATGATCTAGTTAAGAATGTAAAATCAATGAAAATGTCTAAATTGGGGAATTAGAAAAAAAGATAAAAAGTATTGTGAAAAATAGCATATGAGTTAGGAAGGTGTAATTGCGCTTGAATATCCTGAAGTTCTAACAGTGTTCAAAGGCAGTCAGATTGTTAATCTTTGTTAAGCAAGTGCCTGAGGAAACCACTAACATACTAGACAAAGAGAGGATAGCTTTCTAAATACTCCTCTAGGGAACAAATGAAATGAGTAAGATAAAAAACTAAACCACCCAAAATAAGGCAAGATAGGAAACAGTACATAGAAATATCAGGGCAAATAGCAAGTATGATAAAATCTAAACAAACTTAACTATACTAATGCAATAAATTTAAATGGACTAAAGTTTTATGATGGGAAGACAAATATTATCAGTTTTCTTTTCAAGCACATAGTTATTATTTATAAGATATAACCTGAAGCAAACAACAAGGAATGGCTGGAAGTAAAAAGACAAAAAACCAATATTCATTACACGTAAGTTAATAAAAAAAACAATGTAGTTTGGTTTTTTTGGTGGTTTTTGATTTTTCCTGTAGGGTCCAGCTTCTCAGTTAGCCATTGGGTTGCAGAATTTGTATCCAGCAAAGACAGCTTTGTCCCTGGGAGCCTCCTCGATCCTGACAGTTTGGTTATATTTGGCAAGATGCTCTGAATGGCAGAGGGCACCCGTCTGGCTCTTTCCCATGCAGAGGCCAGTGGTGAATATGTCCTCAGTCTCCCCAGATCAGGGACTCCATCACCCCCCAGCCTTTGGACTGAGCCAGTTTGCAGGCCTGGATGCATTAGGTCATGAGCCAAACTGGTGACCCTTTAGCGGCTGGCGGCAGCAAGCCTTCCCAATGGTCTGGACAGTCCCCTTGGGGCTGGTGACTGTGATGTCTTCCCACACAATCTGGATGTGGACTCCTGAAAGGAATGAGATCCGGGTGGCCCAGTCTTCCTAGTCAAAGGGGTGCTCAGTGGAGACCAGAGGATAGTTCTTCATGAATCCCTTGTACCACTCTCCCCAGAGGTGTGCTCTGTGTGTGTGTGTGTGTGGGGGGTCATCAGGTGACTTAAAGTCAGGACTGCACTTCCCATAAAGAAATCAGAAGCTGCCACATCCACACCAATTGCCACTTTATCTGGGTAACCAGCCACGCTGGCAGTTGTAGGACCTCAGTATTCTCCAGGGAGCTGGGTGTGAAGCCTCCCTCATTATCCACACTGGGCATCCTTACCCTATTTGGCCTTGAGGACTCCCTCGAGGTGGTGGTAGACCTTGGCACCCATGTGCATGGCTTCTTTGAAAACTGGCCTCCACAGGCAGAATCATGAACCACTGCATAGCCAGCTAGTTTACCACATGGGAGTCTGCATTGATTGCATTGAGGACTGGGTTAGAGTTCCCTGAAAGATGTGTGATGTATCTGCAGCAGGGGACCCCATTCTTGGCTGCTCCAGCCCTGCACACAGCCAGGGACACACCAAGGATGGCACTAGCCCCAAATGTGACTTACTCTTTGTCCCATCCAGCTCAATCATAAATTTGTCAGCTTTTTCTTGATCTACAATACTTAGTTTCTCTTCCAGTGGAGCAGGGCCTAGTCTTGTTGATGTGTTCCACAGTTTGCAGGACTCCTTTCTCCAGCTAGTGAGATTTGTCTCCAGCTCTTAGTTCCAGAGCATTGTAGATACCCATGGAAACTCTGTGACAGGGTCATCCCCAGGAAAAGGGGAGGTTCCAGGTTGCCTGCCCCATCCAAGGAAGGGGTAGCTGAGCAGGGAGGAGAGAGAAGCTGACAAAGATTGAAGAGGGAAGGAACAGGATGGAGCCAGAAGGATGCCTGGAGGAGGCACATGGAGCCGGAAGACATGTTAAGAAGCTGCACTTGCTTCTTGGTCCTGGACTGGTTGAAACAGATGTGGGTGAGAGACCCATGGGGAGTGACAATGGCAGCTTTTATCTTGATTTTGATATTATTCTTTTCCTTCCAGACTTGTCTGACTGTTTCTGACCCTTTTCTATGTGTCTCCGCCAGAAGGTGCCTTAGACCTGTGGCAGGCTTTTGGGCCTCAGTTTTCCTGCTTTGACCAACCCTGTTTAGTTGGACACTTACTCACAAGAGGATGGGTAACTTTGGGTGCTTGATTTGAAAATTATATTCAAACTATATACGATAGTATGTATTGTATACTAGTATATACATGTATACTAGCATGTATATAGTATACTATTGTATACTATAATAGTATATACTACAACTATATACAATTAGATGCACACTAATTGTATTGAAGCTTCTTTCCATTAAAGTTTTGTCTTGATGTGGTGGATGGCAGAACCTATTTAGAGCTGGCAGGTTTGGGGGCTCTGGGGTGCCCCTCTCCCCGCCTTGTAACAGTTCCACTGAACACGCCTGCTCAGAAACTGCTCAGAAGTTGGTGTGCAGGTCCACCTTCACCTTGGGGTTGCCCCTGGAGCTCAGGATTTCCTGGGCAAAGCTTTTCTGCATGGCCATGGCTCTGATGTCCTTGCTGGGGATTTGGGTGAGCTGTTAGTCCCGGTGGCAACTGGGACAATATCCAACAAAGTTGAGTTTAAAGCAAAAACATTACCAGAATAAAGAGGTCACTACATAATGATATAAGGTCCAATATACCAGGAAGATAGAAAATTAACACACACAATAACATTTGTGATTGTTAATATTCATATAAAGATTGAACATTGACAAAATTCATAGAGCAAACATTGACAAAATTAGAAAGAATATTAACAAATCAACCCTCATAAAGAAGATTTTTAAGATAGCTCCCCTTAATTGATAGATCAGGCAGACATAATTAGTAAGGATATTGAGTTTGAGCAAAAACTATGGACAAATTTAAAATAAGGCACTCAACAATTGGAGAATACATAGTATATTTAAGCATGCCTGGCATTATCAAGGAAATTGACTGCATGCTACCCTTTAAAGAAACATTTAAGTAAATTTCAAAGTATTAATTCCTAGACAGGCTGTAGTATCTGAGTCTATGCAATTAAATTGGAAATAAATAACAAACATAATCAATATATGCTTGGAAACTGGAAAACTGTAATTTGAAGTAACTCCTAGATTAGAGACTAATAATTAATAAAGGAAATTAGAAAATATTGGGAATTGAATGATAACTATCCAAATTTATGTTATGCCAGCAGAATTTAGAAGAAAATCTATACTCACACATGCTCAATGCAAAAGGAAAAAGAGTCAAAATGAATGAGCAAGGATCAGGATTAAGAAATTGAAGAAAGGGCAGCATTTATGTATCAGGTGGAGATCGCAGTACCTCACGGGGACAC